TCTGCCTGTCTCCCTCCGTTCTCTTCTGCCCTCTCCCCCACCTTTCTCTTTCTCTTTCTCTTTCTCATAGCTTATGTGATTTTAGGACTGAAAATCTGAAAAAAACCATGAATCAAGAGGACATAGTAATTATTATTGGGGGACTATGAGAAAAAGTTTATATTACCAACATAACATTTCTTTGCCATGTTTTGCAGATTATATCAGCACTTTTCAAGATAAATTATATTAAAAACTCATAACATAGCTTATTTTGTAAAAAGAAATGTCTCTACATTTTTCAGAGTTTCCCTGATGCATTGAATAATTATTTCTGGTTTCTCCATCCTCTGTGTTTTGTGGCTGTACAGGAGGACTGAGCAAAGATGTGTCTGGGTAAAATACGACTCAATCAACATCAACAACCAACTTTAAACCTTCACTGTAGATAGATCTAATCATGACCTAATGTTCTGTGAAGATGGGCCTTTTATATTCTGTAATGTTGGTCTCTTTTCCACAAATCAGTAGATTATTTTTACTGTTGAAACCACAGGCTAAAAGAATAGATGAGATTTGATGAAAAACTGAAATTGAAACCCTTCTAATACATAAAAACTGTTTTAACGCACTTTGTCATTTGTTGGGACCTGAGGGCTGCACTCCCATCAGCAGAGCAGTAATTGGTTCCTCTAAATCTGCTGAGCGCAAAAAAAAAAAAACTGTTTTTTTTTTTTTTCAGAGCTTGAGTAAGATAAATAAGGGGGGGGGGGGGTCTTCATGTCTCTGTACTAATCATTGTTAAGCAGTTCTGTGTAAAGTAAATACATACTACAAGCTTGTGTCCATAAATACATAAAAACCTCATGGTCATCCAAAGACATTTTTCAGAGGTCTGGTTTAGGTGGAGAGTACTACATTGTTCACTTCAATCTTTCAACAATATGTCCCCTGTGATCAGTCAAATATTGAGGGTATTTTATATTGCGTTGTCTTCTTATACTTTTAAGTACTTGTGGATTTTTCTCAGTTCTGCTGTGTTGGCCTTTGAAAATCTCTGATTTAGCACTGTAGCATCATTTTTCATATCTATTGTTGGCTTGTCATGGTGTCATAGCTGTTCTGCCAGCCTGTTAGATCAGTCCAAATGTATAAATCACTGCAGATCTAACACACTCATTTAATTAGTTCAGCTCTGCTGTGCGCAGTCATTAATTGAAAAATCTCAGCTCCACCCGCTGAGTGAAAATATTCCCTCCTTTTTTTTTTATTATTTGTATTAACAGATATTCTCCGTGATTTCCCTCAGTAGCCAATTGACTGCCTACTAGGCACTTTGTCATCTATCATTGTATATTGTATTAGTCAATTGCCTGATTTTCTTTGAGCTCAAACGTTCTCAAGAAAATCACTTTCCATATAAAGTCTTCATGGATATTTATAGAAATCTACGTTCTTGCAATCATCTATGGTATGCTGGTTCCAAACCTCAGAGCCTCCATTATTATTATTATTATTTTTCATCTGTGAAATAAAGTAACAGGTACTTAATGTAGCAAAAACAATTTGTCCAGTGGTTATTTTACCCACTGAAGGCGTGCGTTGCTCGCTAAGGGCTCTCCTTATCACAGCGAGGCTAATACATTTTCTCACTGTGCTTCACTGCTTTCATTTTACAGCTGAGGAACCCAGTGGCTTCAAGCTGCGGCTGAAATAGGACCCCAGTTACTACGGCAGCCCCACAGAGTGTTTAGGTAAGTGTGCAGAACAATTGCTGAAGTCTTTCAAAAAGTTTGTAATTGTTTCAATCACTGTAGTTTGCTTGCTTTTTGAGCTACATGCACCTATACTGCAATAGGAAGTTTCATAATCATTATAGTCTAGGATAATAAAGGTAACAGAAAGCAACTTAATGTCAACCTCAGTAAAATTTAAAACTTGCTGAGAACCAATATGAAAACTGAAATAGACACAATATAAATAATTAAAATAAGTAAGAAGGTAGGTAGGTAGGTAGGTACAGTGCCTTGCAAAAGTATTCATACCCCTTCATTTTGTTCACATTTTGTTATATTGCTGCCTTATGCTAAACTGCTTTAAATTACTTTTTTTCCACATCAATCTATACTCCATAAACCATAATGGTAGAGCAAAGAAAAGGTTTTTAACATCTTAGCAAATTTATTAAAAATAAAAAACTTAAATGATTCCATTGCGTAAGTATTCATACCCTTATCTGGGACAGTTGGGAGACTGTCTGGGAGACACTGAGACACGATACTTCCTGTTTGTTGCTACCGTGTGTTTTGAGTTTGAGCTCCGTCAAGTTAATTCTTTGTCGTCTAATTTTCTATTTTAAAATCAATTTTATACACCATCATTTTCGTTTATATAACGTGTGAATATATCCCCGATGGTCACTCTAGTTGAGCTCCATGATCATATGTGGAGATGGTGTGTTGCAGTGGTGTTTGTCCTTCTGTAGGTTTTTCCCATGAAGTCACATTGGGAATCTCACCCAAATATTTTACCCATGAGATTTTGAACAAGTTCTCTACCCAGTGGCAAACAAGACGTGGAGGCACAGGTATCATTCAAAAGTTACAAAATGCTTTATTAAGACAATATAAAACAATATAAAAGTTACAACAATTGAAAGTACACACATTAACTCCAGTAAGGCTTGCGTCAACAGAAATCACTTACAACCCATCATGGAGCTACGGCCTAGACTACAGGGGAGACTCTTCAATAACAAATGATCTCGCAACCTACACTGCACACTCACACATCAAGCAAGAGCCCAGTGCACACAGCAGACCACAGCACTCAGTGAAGAACACCACCACCACCTAAAATGGGAATAGTCTCCCTGGTCAGTCAAGGCCCGTATAATTACAAACAGTCTTAACACAATACACTTTGCACAAAATAACACAAATTACAAGAAAGAAAAAGAAACTGAAAACAAAAATGAAATTAACAATATTAGCAAATCAAGGAAAACAAATCTCTTCAAAAAACAAAAACTCACCCAATAAGGAGAAAAAAATCTAAATCACATAAATTAACAGAAGTAATGTAAGGTAATAAAACAAAAAGAAAGGGATATAACTCGAAGTACTCCAATAATTGAGTGACTCAACAACTCAATTTACAATATAAAGAAACAAAATAAATCAACACACAAATTGCAAAATCACCACAACAAAGAAAATTTCAAAACAACGGGAGTTGAATAACACTATGAAAAACAAAGGAGATCAAAAAGAAACAATTTTAATGAAAACTAATTTAACATAAATGAATAAAACGCAGAACAGACAAGCACGCAAGCCATTAAAGGCAACACATCCACACAAAAGAACAAGACTTTCTGGCACGGGTCCAGCCACACGACCGTAACCAAAAACATGCAAAAACACAATGCAAGTCCACGTAGAACGAGACAGCGGCGATATTCACCCTGCGATCCAACAACCGCTGCAGGAACCTGGATATATCCGAATGTTAAACTCTCAGCCTATATACACAACAGTCGCCACCCACACACCCGACATTAACTGGGGGAAGACAGATTCTCATCCCACAGCAGAGCAGAACAGCCACAATGAGTAAGGGCACCCAAATAAACAAAACACAGGAGCGACTACTCGCAACCGCACTCCTGAACTGACCCAAAGTCACACTTAGCCGAAGCAGAGCGAGTCACACTGCGTGTCTTCTGACTTCCATTCACTTATGGAAACTGCCATCCTTATTTATCATGCCACACATACATAAATAGTTGAATGGATAATAAAGGAAACAGAAAGCAACTTTCTAATGCTTTCAGCATCCTGTTCTGCAACACCCTTATTCTTCACTTTAAGATACATCACATTGACCATATTATAAGAAAGAATTACATCTACTCTTTGCAGAATGCCAAATAAAAAAATGCCAATACATAATTTACCTAGTTAGATTGAATTAATGTGTGTGTGTGTGTGTGTGTGTGTGTGTGCGTGCGCGCACACGCTTGTTTTCTACAGTATATTTGTGCGTGTTTGTTTTCTTTTTCTAAAGTATCAAGTTGAACAGCAAACCTTTTAAAGACATCATGAAACAGAAATTGCAATCATTTGTATTATCTTTTGTAATGCATATATGCAAGTTTATATCTCACAATTCTGAGTAAAAAAAGTCTGAATTGTGAGATATAAAGTTAGAATTGCGAGATATAAACTCGCAATTCTGACTTTTTTTTCTCAGAATTGTGATATTTAAACTCACAATTGTGAGTAATAAATAGGGTTGTCAACTTCAGAAAATCAAAATACGGGAGAATCACCTTAAGAGGGTTCCTCAGCCTTTCACGAATCCTGATTTACTTAACGTGTACTGCGTGAGTGGGACTGTGACTGGATGATGATGGGTGTCGGTGATCATTCTCAAGTGATCAGCACTGCTGCTGTTGTATCAGTCAGTGGTTAGATCAGCGTAGCAGTCAAAAAACGGGACAAGGGAAGTCACGTACGGGACAAATCAATTAGGCCCAAAATACGGGATGTCCTGGCTAATACGGGACGGTTGGCAACCCTAGTTATAAAGTCCAGTTCTAAGGAGAAAAAAAGACTGATATGTTCTCATATGTTCTGATAAGTTTATATCTCACAATTATGACTTATTAACTTGCAATTTTGAGTTTATATCTCGCAATTCTGACTTCATTTCTCACAATTCTGAGTTTATATCTCACAATTCTGAGAAAAAAATCAGATTTTCGAGTTTGTATCAGACAATTGTGAGAAAAAAATCAGAACTGCGAGATATGAACTCACAATTGTGAGAAAAAAGTCAAAATTGTGATATGAAAAGTCGCAATTACCTTTTTTATTTAATTTATTTATTTATGTTTTATTCAGTGGCGGAAATGGGCTTCCATAGAGTGGAATGGCTTAAATGGAAAAAAAAGAAAAAAAAAGTAGGGTAGGACTTAATTTTGCCCAATGGAAATCCGAATCCAAAAATCACACGAATCCGGTCTGTGGTCTTCCGTCTGCTCGCCACCAGAGGTCGCCTTCTGATTACACTGACTCTCACACCACACAAACTGTTGCACGTCACCCTGGACTACATTTCCCATGCTCCTTTGCACTGATTGAACTCACCTGCAGCCAATCTCACACACACACTATATAACAACCACTCAAATCCTTCTCTAATCACCGAGTATTGTCTGCGTTTATTACTCTCCTAGTGATAGCAACTTTACAAAGCCAGTCCGTGTTTCCGGAGTTTAGTTCTAGTCAGTCCTGTTTGATTCCTGTTTATCCTGTGTCTTGATTCTAGCCTGGTTTACCTCGTCCTGTCTGATCTCTGTCTGCCCTGTAATTATCGCCTGTCTGTTGGATTACCCGTTTGCCTTGCCCCCCTGAATCACGTTCGCTGCCGATCGACCCACATCTGTTTACTGGATTACTCGTGTGTCTTGCCCGTACCATACCTGTTTGCTGGTGTTCGACCCTGCCTGTGTTTTGACCATGTCTGTGAATAAAAGCTTGCATATGGATCCGCACGCCTCTCGTCTCGTTTGCCCTGTTACAGAATACTCGGACACACAAGGACCCAGCAGCTTTTCCGAGGAACATTGGCCAGGTATGGACACGGCAAAAATTTTGTTATTCCTTAGACAAGGCCCGCGATCGCTGGAGAACTATATTCGCGAATTTTTAGCCATTTTGAACTATTCTGATATACCGGACTGTCTATTGATAGAGTTTTTTTTGTGATGGCCTTAATCAACCTCTACGATCTGAGCTTAGACACGCGGGTCCGTGTTCGTCACTCGCTCAGTTTATGGATTATGCTTTGCTGACTGTTGGCTCTTTGTTTACTGTGGGGGTGGCAGAGGAAGAATGCGTCACTGCATCTATGACTGAAATGGTGGCTGTACCAGAGCGCGCTCACATAATGGCAGCGACAGCGGAGTCAGTTTGCAAAATGGCGGCCACAAAAACGCCCTGTTATGTAACCGCTGCCATTCAAGTCAAGTCAAGTCACAGCTGGTCTTCCTGAGGCAAGTCAAGTTAAAGCTGGTCTTCTAGTGTCAAGCCACGTCACAGTTGATCATCCAGTGTCAAGTCACGTCTCAGCTCATCATCCAGAGTCAAGTCACGTCACAGCTGATCGTCCAGCATCACGTCACGTCACAGCTGATCGTCCAGAGTCTCGTCACGTCACAGCTGATCGTCCAGAGTCTCGTCACGTCACAGCTGATCGTCCAGTCTCGTCACGTCACAGCTGATCGTCCAGTGTCAAGTCACATCACAGCTGATCGTCCAGTGTAAAGTCACGTCACAGCTGATCATCCAGTGTCAAGTCACGTCACAACTGTTCACTCAGAGACCTGTCACTTCCTGTCTGTCGCACCCAGATCCTCAAGGTATGTTCTTCAGTATCCCACACTGGCATCCAGCTTGGAGGACCCACCGCTGGTGTCAGCACGTGCTGCTGGTATCCCTAAACCAGCGCTCTCAAACCCTTTTGTCCCAGAAGTAATCGCCTTGTCTGCTGCATTTCCCATATGGGGGATTGCTTTCTGTGTATAGGCTGCATTCACTACTGCCGAAGTTCCAGAGCCAGCTACGTCCACGGAAGGATTGCCAGAGGTGACGACTGAGGCTGCAGAACCTCCAGAGACGGCGGTGCCCGTTCCGGATTTTACGGAGGTGGCGGCGTATGCTGCAGAACCTTCTGAGGCGACTTCTTTCACTTCAGCTCTGGTTACGGTAGTGGCGCCCATTAATCAACTCCCTGTCTGTCCTGTCACGGCTATGGAGGCCGTCTGTGAACCCTCTGCCTGTCCTGACATGGCTATGGAGGCCGTCTTTGAACTCTCTGCCTGTCCTGTCACGGCTATGGCGGCCGTCTGTGAACTCTCTGCCTGTCCTGTCACGGCTATGGAGGCCGTCTGTGAACTCTCTGCCTGTCCTGTCACGGCTATGGATGCCGTCTGTGAACTCTTTGCCTGTCCTGTCACGGCTACGGAAGCCGCTTATGAAATTTTGTCCTGCTCTGAACCGACCGAGGAGGACATCTCTGAACTCTCGTCCTGTTCTGAACCAGCCATGGTGGCTGATTGTGGACTGTCTGTCCGTCTCGTCTCTACTAATGTGTCTGATTTTAAACTGTCTGTCTTGCCTGTTTCTATCAAGGAATCTAAACCTGACCAGTCTGTCTGTCTAAATGCTTCTGTTGAGTCTGAATTTGAACCATCTGTCGGTCCTGATTTAGTCATTGAGTCTGTTGTTGAACCATCCGTTTGTCCAGTTTCTATTAATGGGTCTGAGTGTGAATTGTCTGTCTGTCCAGTTTCAGTCACTGAAATGTCTACCAGTCCAGCTTCAGTTAATGCATCCAATTTTGAGCTGTCAGTCTATCCCATATCAACCCATGAATCTGTTTGTGAACTACCTGCCAGTCCAGTTTCCCTCAATGAGTCTGATTTTGAACTGTCTGTCTTGTCAGTTTCTGTCACTGAACTCTCTGCTTCAGCCTCTGGCAGATAACTCAAAATCAAGGGCATTGACAGTCTTATTCCAGTCAATGCATTTAATTGTGAACTGTCTGTTGGTTTAAATTCTACAGTCAAATCTGATTCTGAATTATTTGTCTGTCCAGTCTCAACTAATGAGCCTGAGTGTGAACTGTCTGCCTGTTCAGTTTCAGTCAGTAAGCCTATTGAAGAACTTTCTGCCCGTTCAGTTTTCACCAGGGAAAATATTGATGAACTTTCTGTGTTCCCTGCCTTGGTCCGTGAGACCGTATATGCTCTGTCTGTCTCTTGTGTCTCAGTTTTCCATAGGTCCCAGTCTCTACCATGGGTTTCTGCTCAGTCTACTCCGCCATGGTGGCCGTGGTGGTCTTCTTCTCCATCTGCTCCGCCGTGGTTGTCTTCTGTCTGGCTCTGGTGGTCTTCTGCTCTGCCTTGGTGGTCTTCTGCTCCGTCTGCTATGCCGTGGTGGTCTTCTACTCCATCTGCTCCGCCGTGGTGGTCTTCTGCTCTGTCTGCTCCACCGTGGTGGCCATCTGCTCTGTGGTGCACCGTGGTGGTCTTCTGTCTGGCTCTGGGGGTCTTCAGCTCCGCTGTGGGGATCTTCGGACTCATCTGCTCTGCTGTGTTGGTCCTCAGTTCCACCTATCCTGCAGGTTCTGCCCTGGTTTCCTGCTCTGCCGGCTCCGCCCTGGCTACCTGCTATGCCGGCTCCACCCTGGCTCCCTGCTCCGCCTTGGCATCCTGCTCTGCTGGCTTTGCCTCAGTCCCCTGTCCCTTCACTTCCCCATGAACCTGGCCCTCCATCCCTCCCCCTGTTCCGCCTCCTCTCCACCACCTTTCTGGATTGTACTATGTTGGGAGCGTCTGGAAGCTGCACCTTGGGGAGGGGGGCTTTGTCACGAATCCGGTCCGTGGTCTTCCATCTGCTCACCACCAGAGGTCGCCTTCTGATTACACTGACTCTCACACCACACAAACTGTTGCACTTCACCCTGGACTACATTTCCCATGCTCCATTGCACTGATTGGACTCACCTGCAGTCAATCACACACACACTATATAACAACCACTCAAATCCTTCTCTAATCACCGAGTATTGTCTGTGTTTATTACTCTCCTAGTGATAGCAACTTTACGGAGCCAGTCCGTGTTTCCGGAGTTTAGGTCCAGTCAGTCCTGTTTGTTTCCTGTTTATGCTGTGTCTTGATTCTAGCCTGGTTTACCTCGTCCTGTCTGATCTCTGCCTGCCCTGGAATTATTGCCTGTCTGTTGGATTACCCGTTTGCCTTGCCCCCCTGGATCTCGTTCGCCGCCGATCGACCCATGTCTGTTTACTGGACTACTCGTGTGTCTTGCCTGTACCATACCTGTTTGCTGGTGTTCGACCCTGCCTGTGTTTTGACCATGTCTGTGAATAAATGCCCTGTTACAGGTTCTTTTAAAACTTTACTGTAAAAAAATAATAATAAGCAATAATAATAATAATAATATTAATAATAATAAAATATAGCTGCAAGCAGCAATTATGGGGCCAAACTCTCCAAAGGCAAAATTAGGAGCTAAGCATGGCATGGAGCATCAGACCAAATGCAACAATAAGTAATAAAAGCAATTTTAGGATGATTGTAATTGAAATGGCGGAAAAATCATAAATACAACCTCTAGTAATATGATTAAATGGCTTATCACTTTTGACCAACAGGTGGCGCTGTAATAAAATCATTTTGGTGTGTTCTGTGTGAGGTGACAATGGCACACACAAAGTTTGTTGTCATTATATCAAAGCTTTGCAGAGACATAGCCTCAGAGTCATTCTGGCACCGTGCATAAAATTTGTAGTGGCGCTTTACAAAAACTGTTTTGTCTATCGACATGAAATCCATAACTTTTTGTCGGCACAGCCTGAAGATGATTTGACTTGATTTTGGTGAAAATCGGACCAACGGTCGAGGAGGAGTTCGAAAAAGTAGATTTTCAACATAAATCAAAATGGTGGACAGGAAGTTCGGCCCACAATGGCATAATTGGTATCTATGTTGTCGGCATGACCCAAGGAATATTTTGAGACCAGTTTAATTATAATAGGCTAATGCAATCAAAAATGATTAGCATTTTTGGAAATTTCATAATTAATGGTTAATGAATGGTTTACTACTCTTGACCAATAGGTGGCGCTGTTACCAAAATGATGTGGACTGGTCAGTGTGAGGTGATAATGGAACATACAAAGTTTGGTGTAAATATGTCAAAGCTTTGCAGAGATACAGCCTCAGATGCAGTTTGGCATCTTTCCAGCAAATTTGTTGATGCGCTAAACGAAAACCTTTTTGTATATTGACACGAAATCCATAATTGTTTGCCAGCATGGTCTGAAGATGATCCGAGTCAAATTTGGTGAAAATCGGACTAACAGTCTAGGAGGTCTAGGTTTTCAACATTAATCGAAATGGCGGATAGAAAGTTCGGACAGTTTTGGCATAATTGGTATCGATGATCTCGGCATGACCCAAAGAATACATTGAAACCAGTTTTATTACAATAGCCCAATTTATTCAAACCGTATTAGAATTTTTGTAAATTTCTTTATAACTTTTGGCCACAAGATGGCGCTACCCCCAAACTTTTTGAGTACTGTCAGAGCATGGTGCCGAAGAAACATACAGAGTTTCGTAATGATACGCCAATGCGTTCAAAAAATATAACTTTTTACGACATAATTCAAAATGGCCGACGCCCATTCGACCTTCGGTGCTTGGACCCTAATAATGATAATAAATAAATGTAAATAAATAAAATGCTGTGGTTGCCAGAACATAAGGGTATAAGGTGTGGTTTATTTATACCGTTACTGTTTAACACATATGGATTGTTGAGCTTTTATTTTAATTACCACCCCGTTTTCTGTATTATTGTCCCTATGTGTGTGTGTATTTACCCCGGATGAGATCAGTCTCGTGAGATATAGCGCATCACCTTGCATCATGGACTTGGTTATAATTATTTCACTATATAGGTTGCCGGCTTACCAACGTTTGGTAGCGTACTCATTTGTTCGACTCTGACCCGGGTTTCGTTTACTCTGTGGATTATGGACTGAGCTGTTGTTGGGATATTCTGCCACCTCGCATGTGGAGTTTTACATACGAACTTGAGAGATTGGATTACTTGCCAGTGAAGACTTTAACAGCTTCAGCCTGCACTTAAGAATCTGCTTGCGGACTTTCATTCTACCGCAGTGAGACTGATTGAATTCTGTCAGGATCTGTGAGGCAGGAACCAAATGCAGATTAACAATGACAGGGTTTATTAGCAAAACAAACAAGGTAAGGCATGAAACAGAGTCCACCAACATGGGATACAGGAAACAATGACAGGACAGCGGAGGATGACTGCCTGAATCAGCCCTTAATAACAACAAGACGGACAACAGCAGAGGAGGTGGCAGGGCCAGGAAGACAGTGGTGAAGATTAGGCAAGGCACAAGGAAGCTGAGATCTGCTAAGAGAAACCTTAGCAAAAAGAATAAATAACTGATGAACAAATAGTGAACAAAAAGTAGTTTAGTTACAAAAAGTAAAAGACTAGAAAACACCAAACTAAATAAAAGACTAGAGTTAGTCTTTAACTCTAGTCTTTTATTTAGTTTGGTGTTTTCTAGAAAATGTAAAATAATACTAAAATTAAACTAAAGGAAATTACTTGAACAATAGCTAAATCAAAAGAAATAAAGAGCAAGACTTTAACAAGAAAATACCAAGGGATTAGAAAAGACTAAACTTGACTACAGTGGCACAACACACACATTCACTCACAACAAACCGGCAAAGACAAGAGGGAAGAGAGCAGAATAAACAGGGAGGAAAGGACACGAAGACCAGGTGAACACAATTAGAGAAACAAGGACCAGATGACATAAACAAGGGGGTGGGGTCAGAGGTGCACATGGCAACCACAAACAAAGACAGAGCCATGTGCCGAAACAAAACAAACATAGAAACATGAAACAAAGACAAAACTGACCAGACTGTCAGGGCAGGATCCTGACAGTACCCTCCCCCCAACGGATGCCTCCAGGCATCCACACTGGGCAAAAAAGTCCAAGTAGGTAACAACTGGGAGGGAGAGTGGGTGGGGAACAAAACTTGAAGTCTCAGAATAGCTAGAAAACACAGGGGGTGGGACTGGGAGGGTGGAAAATAATCCATAGCAATGGTTTGGGGCTGACCAGCGAGGTGCCGACTAAGGCAACCCATAAAGGCCATGTAACAGGGAGGGCAGGTTGGGGATACAGTTGGTTGACCTTCTGAACACATGGGCTTGCTCCATTGGTGGGGGATTCTGACTGGGCTTGGTGTCTTGGGCAGATTCAGGAACACCTTCTGGGATTGCAGAGGTATCATTGGCTTCAGGTACAGACACTGGACTTGACTCTGGAGTGCCCTTGGGCGCTGAAGTCTGCACTTGACTCTGATCAGGGGCTGGAGCCTGCACTGGACTGAGCTCTGGGGCTTGAGCGGGCTCTGTGGCTGCTCACTCTGGAATGGTTTGAAAACAATATCCTCTTCTGCGGCAGGCTCTGAAAGTGGGCTCTGGAACTGCTCTCTCTGGACTGGGCTTGAAAACTACATCCTCCTCTGCAGCGGGCTCGGAAACAACTTCCTCTAAAGCGGGCTCAGCAACTGCTCTCTCTGGAGCAGGTTCTTCGGGCTCCTGGACTGGAGTGGACTCTGGAGGCTCCTGGACTGGTGCTGTGGCAGAAAGTACTGGCTGGTCAGGATTGGCCTATGTGGTACAAATAGCAAGCCGCTCAGGGACGGCCTCAATGGCCATTATAGGGAGAGCGGGCTGCTCGAACATGACCTCTGCCTCAGTCTCTGTGGCAACAACGGGAGGAGCAGCCAGCTCAGGAAGAGCCTCTGTGTACATAACATGACAGGTAGGAGTAACCTCTTTGGGCATGACAGGCATGACTTGACTGGCAAGAACATCATCTGTGGGCATGACATAACTTACAGGCATGGCTTCAGTGGGCACAACAGGAAAGGTAGGCAACTCAGGAACTGTCGCTTCTGTCATAGCAGGTAAACTGGACAGCTTTGTCATAACCTTGGTGGGCAAGATAGGAGCAGGTGGCTCAGGAAAGTCATTCATGAATCTGACAGACAGAACAGGTGTCACTATGGCTAGGACCACTGAACTAGACACCTCTCAGACCAGCAGACTTGGAACCTCACAATTCGGGCCCTCCAGGAACAATGGGTTTGGGACTTCTTGACCTGGGCTCTCCTGGACCAGTGGGTCCTTAATGAATATTAGATTCCTTTCAACAAAAGCACTTTCTGTAAATGATATGATCACAAATCATAACTTAAATGTGCTCTGTTTGACAGAAACCTGGCTAAAACCAGATGATTACATTACGTTAAATG